ATATATATATATATATATATATATATATATATATATATATATATATATATATATATTATTTTACTTTTTATTTTTCGTTCGGAAATTGGTCTTTGCGCGGTGATGATGTATTTCCATAATATGAATATTTCCCGCCCCAATCTTGGATTATGATGTATTATAATGTATTTTGGAGTGATGTCTAAAAATATAAAGGAAAGAACTTTCTCGGGACTATTTCTACCCTACTCAATTTTATTTGAAAATATTGATAGAAATATCGATAACAATGGATATTGATAGAAGAAAATTTTACGAAAGGGGAGGGCTAGCCAACAGGTGTCTATTATTGAATTCACCCGACCCAATAGTACCTCATTTTTAGAGCGTCCAGTGTCAAAGTTACTGAATGGGTAAGTCGTCAATCCTTAAAACGGACTATGTAATGTACTTTATCTACTGGGTTACGGGTGGACATTTTACCAAGGTTTCTATTCTAAATGGTTAAATGTTTACTACCTAATCTATGTCCTTGTGTTTAATATTGCCCTAAAGTATTGAAAAATATGGCAAACAGAAAAGAAATCCTTTCCCTGAACCCATACGTGTTTCTATGGGTCTTAGTATTGTAACACGGGTTTGTCTGGAAATATAGCATCGTGCATTTCATGTCATTGCCCTTCGTCTCGCTTCTGTGATCCAAGCGGGTTCAAGTGCTTGAATAGCGTATCTACCGAAGCAAATACGATTGCCTCGATCAGATATTCCTTTCATTCTTCCTCTACAGTGTTTACAAAATCTGATTCTTTTCGAGTTATAGTTGATGGTTATGGGAAAGGAAGTACCATAAGCTATGAGCTGCCCACCAACGGCCTCGGTTCGAGATTCTTTTTTTCTTCGAATAAAGCCCAATCGAAAATCGGGCAATGTTTGGCAGTGATTTCTATAAGAATATGACAAAAGTGATTTTGGTCATTTCAAACTATCACCCAACATAGTCAAATCAATTTACTAGCAGAAAAAGCATCCCAAAATGCAGACTTTGTAGCATGTCATTTTCTACTTTGTGGGGGCAAACGGGATGATAAAAGGATTAGAAGCTTGTCATATATATACACTGTTGTGAAAACATTTACATTACAAATTTAAAGGTTCGTGGAGTACTTCAACAAGGGACAAGGCTGATTTTCGGATACCTTTCGCTGTCGACCGCCTGTTCTCTTCGAACATTTCGAACAGAGCTTGCCATGAGTGTAAAGTAGACAGTTGAGATCAAATTTGAGATGATTTGGGATCCTTTGGTTGAGATGAAGATATGTTTTGTTCCTGTCTGCCTCGTCCGGGACCCAACCGATGAATTTTGCAATCTCGAAGACCTGCAAACATGTTGAGGAATCAAAATCTTCCAATGGTCTTGAAGAAAAAGGATCACTAACTCATCAGAAATCAGAATTCAATTATATGGTACTCACATGGGTGTCTACTGGAAAGTCGTCTTTCTGAAGATTGAACATCAATACACAGGCTACCTGTCAAATATAACTTGTATGATCGATTCAATTCATCGGTTAACTAAGCAATCAAGATGCAAACCGACGCGACCTGGTTTATAAACTATGATGCCTTACACAAGCCAGAGATAGAATGATTCAATTCATCCGTAACACTAAGCAATCAAGATGCAAACCGACTCGACCTAGATTATAAGCTATGATGCCTTACACAAGCCAGAGATAGCATGATTCAATTCATCCGTAACACTAAGCAATCAAGATGCAAACCGACGCGACCTGGTTTAAACCATGATGCCTTAAACAAGCCAGAGATAGCATGATTCAATTCATCCGTAACACTAAGCAATCAAGATGCAAACCGACGCGACCTGGTTTATAAACTATGATGCCTTAAACAAGCCAGAGATAGCATGATTCAATTCATCCGTAACACTAAGCAATCAAGATGCAAACCATCCATAACACTAAGCAACCAAGATGCAAACCGACGCGACCTGGTCTATAAACTATGATGCCTTGAACAAGCTAGAGATATCATGATTCAATTCATCCGTAACACTAAGCAATCAAGAAGCAAACCGACGCGACCCTGTTTATAAACTATGATGCCTTAAACAAGCCAGAGATAGCCACAACAGACATGATTAGAATAAAGACTCTTCCGTAGAAGCCTTAAACTAGGATCCCAATAGATACAGTTAAGTTAAGGTATAGCTCCATGCACACCAAGCTTGTTTATTCAAACAATTACCGTTTTGGGACCAATTCCTTTGAAGGTGGACAGTTCAGCCTTTACTTCATCGATGGACAAATTGTGCAAGTATTCCAGGCATAATTTGCCTCTTCTCTTTGACAAAGAACTCAATATGTTCTTAATGCAAGAGGTTTTTGTGAGTGCTAATCCTCCACATCTTATGGCATCCTCTATGCATTTGGATTCAGCTGAAAGAACCTACAGTAAAATTTGAGTTCATCAAATCAAAACCTCCAAGGTTTCAGGAAAACCAATAGAACTCCAATAATCAATCACATTATCCATAGGAGATATCAATTTTTCCTTTAAACTGTAAGCAAGATATACTATGAAAGATTAGTTTGATATGATCAGAAAACAGAAAAGATTTGAGGCCTTTCATTAGAATCATAACTGATAACACAAACAAAACTAGTAAAACTTATGGTCCAGCAACATGATAAGCTTCATTTCAATCAGTTGTTCATCACGAAAATGATGGTCAAAATTTTCAAAAGGTAGCATTGACAATACAGATGAATTAGCAGAAATCTAGCAATACATCTCAAGTACTGAGTAACAAATACTTCACTGAACAATAACTATGAGCATCAGTTTCATTTCCTAAATCCTTCAATCCAATAATAAGCAAATTAAGCCATTAAAAAAAAAACGAAGAAGACTCACATCTTCCCAGGTAGCAAATGCAGACTTGAGAGAAGCAAAAGCCTTCTCAGAATTAGCCTCCGTAGTGTTTTGCGATAGCACTGTCTTCACTAACCCATCCAGAACGCTCTCCGATTTCACATTTTCCGCTAACTCACCACCACTGCCGTCCACGACGGAGCAGCACTCGCTCAACCTCTCTCTCTCCTTCCGATACTTCACAAACTCTCGAGGAAAACCATAGAGATTCAACAGATCGTCTCGTACGGACAAACATTCGTCAGAAGTGGGCGAAGAATAAGCCGGATACGGTTCATTGGTTGAGCTATCGAAGCCATTAACAGTTCTGATTGATTTTGCTCGAGGTCCATTCGCGGGAGAATCGCCATTTGGCTCTGGTTTTTGAAGACGCCTCTTCTTACCGGTCGTCTTCTTCATCACGCCGAGTGAAGCCGATTCATTCTCCGATCATACGGACTATGAAGCCCTCTTTGGGCTTTTTCAATTGGGCTTCTCCAACGGCCCAAGTAAACTCGGGAACTAAATAGTTCAGCCCAATTAGCTAAAACAGCAACGACTTTGACTTTGACTTTTTATTTTTCTTTACGCTAATTTTAAATTTTGTTATGATTTTAATTACCAAAAAAAATATAAAAAATTTCCACGTGAATGAACGTGAAAGTCAAAGTCAACTACATTATTCTAATTTTAATAATGTCAACGTCAAATATTCTTCCGAAGAGAGTAAAATATATTACATATATTTTTTTTTTCTTTTTTCTCGTGAATATAATTATTTTCTTTAAAGAAAATTTGATGACGAGAAAAAATTTATATTACACCTCCTAAGTTTATAAGGGTTTGGTTTGATTTTTTTTTTATCGAGTTAAAAACTTTAAAAAATTTGTTTAATTTATGAGTTCCAAACTTTTTTACCAAGTCAACTCAACCGACTCCGAGAGTTCACAACTTAACAATACCCTATTTGAAATTTGTAATCTATGCTAGTTATGTGTGGTCGATAAATATGACTATGACCTGACCCAAAATAGAGGGTTAGGTTGTGAGCCTCTTTCGAGTCATTCAGTTTCGGGTTGATCCAAAAAAGAATCAAACCCAACCTGTGTGTACCGGGTAATTTCAATTTTTTTAATAATCAAAATGCACCCAAAGTAAAAAAATAAAAAATAAAATTTATTTATTTATTTAATTTCTTTTAGGACATGATGACGTGAAATTTGATAAATTATAAAATGTTTTCGGATTTTGTCCGTTTAAGTTGACTGACAAAATTAGAAA